AAAACGGGCCTTTTATGGGCCAATAACGTTTTTTCCCAAACCCACTAAAGAAAAACTTAGGGTTTTCCACGTATAAACGGTTGCTTTCGTCGACTCGCTCCCGTTGCCGCACCTGCTTCGCTTCTCCTCTCTGCTCTCAGGTAAACTAATCGCACTTCTTCTCTTCGTATTCATCTTTTCGATTTATCATGGATCTTTACGAATATAGCCGATGGTGTTGAGTGTAGAACCATTAGAGTAATAGTTATGAATCTCTAGTTTTGGAAAAACCCTAGAGCTCTCTCGCTTGCTATAAATATCATCAGATGTTCAATTTCGTATTATTGCTTTCACTTGCAATCATTTTCGATCTCAGGCTTTTTTATAATGTTGTCATTGTTGTTGGTTCTTGTCTAACATAAGATGTTCTGTTTTTCGCGTTCTTTGGATATATATATAGGATTCGTCTACTCTTTGAAGCCAATCTTCAAGATGCAAAACGAAGAGGGTCAGACCACTGAGCTTTACATTCCTAGGAAATGGTAATTGAAACATTTTCTGTTTTTGGTCTTTGTGTCGTTGAATTTGTATTCTCTCATTGACTAATAGAAGATTGGTTCTTGTTTGTCTTTGACTGATGTTGCAGCTCTGCTACTAACCGGTTGATCACTTCCAAGGATCATGCCTCTGTTCAGCTCAACATTGGTCATTTAGATGCTAATGGCGTGTACACCGGACAATTCACCACCTTTGCTCTCTGTGGTTTCGTCCGTGCCCAGGTTTGTAACACACTTATCAATATAGACTCTGTGTTCCCAATTTGTCAATGCTTTGTCCAAAATTGAGTCAAGAGTGATTTGTTTTGTGTGTATCAGAAGAGAGTTGAACAACCCTTGTTAGATTGCAGTTTTTTTCAACTTATCTTCATCAGATAGACTGTTAACTATTGATGTACACGATTACAGGGAGACGCAGACAGTGGTGTCGACAGGCTGTGGCAGAAGAAGAAGGTCGAAGCCAAGCAAAACTAAGAGTTTAAGCTGTCGTTTTTTGGTCGAATCTTGATATTTTTGTCCGAAAGATTGTCTCACACTGAAGTAATGATTTTGGCTTGAGTCTTGGAACTTAACTTAATGCTTTTGTGCACCAGTCTTCTAACACTTTCTCGACCTTTTATCATTCTGAAGTTTTAAGATTTTGAGTCCAAAGTGAATAAACGTTACCACCTCCTTATCATTAGATCATCCTACTTATTCAATTTTGGTATTTTGGTATCTTTGAGAAAGTAGGAAATTGGTGTTGTTTGAACAGTTAAATTCTTTAACAAAACAAATTTATCGAAAATGAAGAAACATTACCACCTCCTTTTTTTTTTTTGTCGGCAATTCAGTTTCATTCATAAGCCCAATGGACAATTACAGAAAGAAAGTAGAGGATTACAAGCAATGTCAACAGCCCACTAAAATATTAATCGATATAAGCCCAATGCTTTAGCGTTAGACACGTGTAGAAGACGTGTTCTTCGTCAGCCCACGCGTCAAATTATCGAGCACCACCGTCAACGATCGCCGGATATCGCCGTACTCCGATTAGCCGCCGCCAATCAGCCATGGGACGATGGAAATCCTCCTCCCTACCGCCGATCTCCAATCCAAAACTAAAGATAACACCGAAATCTTCTGGATCGATCCTATGAAGCCGCTTCAAAATTCTCCTGATAGCACCAACTCCGGGGAAGCTTCACCACCGGTTACACCCAAATTGATGTAGCCTAAGATCCATCTTTGCTCATGCGTTTTGAGCAAAAGGAGATAAGAGAGACGAAGATATGACTCCTTGAGCAATTGGGGAAACACAGAGAACTTGGAAGACAAACAGAGAAAGCGGTGGAAAGATACAGAGATGGAAAAGAGATCGAATCTCGCTAAAAGCGAGAGAAAAGACCGGACATAGCCGGTAGAAACAGTCCGACACATAGTCGGAATTTATTAATCTCGCACATAGACGAGAATATACACAAATCCGGTCATAACCGGAAACAAAAAACGGCCATAAGCTTTTCCCCTCTGAAAGGTTTTAGAGAGAGAAGAGAGGAAAAGCTTCTCTTTGGTTCTCCACTAGATACATTACCATCTCCTTTACATTTTCCTTTGAAAACTCTCCAATTTGCCAATTTATACAAAGAAATTTAACATTTCTAAAATAAAATTAATTCTTTTCAGTGGTGAAGTGAAGTAGCGGAAACTTATAAGGATAGAACTAGAGATCCGTTGATTCTTCGGAATACCGTAAAACTAGAGTTTCTCAGATCTGTTGATTTCTTCGAATACCATAAATGAGAGAACGTAAGGAATTCGTTGGTTCTCCACGAATACCGAATCCTACGTCTTCTTATAATCGTTTAGATCTCTCAAGATCTACCGAAAACAAAGATTAGAGAATACTCTTCTCTGAAATGATAAAAGCTCTTTAATTTTATTAATCAATCAACTGAATATAAAAGAAGGCCTAAACGGCTTATTTATAATAAAACCCGAAAGCCTAGATAAACTCTAAAATAATCATATAATAATTAAAATATAAATAATAAAATAAATAGAAGATAATGATAGAAGATATTTGGAAATTATCCAAATTATGTACTACATTAGGTCTCGTCGGCCAAGAAAAAGATAATGATAGAAGATATTTGGAAATTTTCCAAATTATGGGCTTCATTGATGACAAATATTTATTTATACAAAAATTTAGTATCGATTATTGTCTTAAATATCTGTTTTTAAATTTCTAATCTTCTAATCTGAAGATGCCATATCTTTCTAAAAATTGAACCAATCAAAATTTGTATATGGTTAAGAAAAACACCTAATTTTTGTTTTAAAATCTGAAACATACAACTTCTTAAAAATAAAATAAAAAATTAACTCTTTTTATCTGCTGTAAGGTATTTTTTGATTTGAATTATAAACTAATTTTTTTAATAAATCAAGATTAAACTCGAATTAAATATTATTATTAATAGTATTATTATTTTTATTTGAGATCAAGATTGCTATTGATTTAATTATATAAAATTTATTATTAGATAAGTCTCTTGAAATATTTTACGTTTATCTCTTAAATATGTGTCGTATATATATAGAAGTCTCCATGCAAAGTCTCCAACAACAACGAACCTTTTAGAAGCAAGCTGCATGGTATCTTCATCTATAATTGTAAGTTTTTTTTTTTTTTTACAAAACTAGTATTTATTTAAATCAGAAAAATATTTATGTGTGTTTCTCTACCAAAAACAGTTCAACTATGAATCATTACCCTTCTACTTTCTATAACTTTACGTTGAATCAGTTTGATAAAAAAATATTTATGTTGAATCATTGAATTCAAACAAGAGGTTTACTCATTTTCGGATAGATGAACGACTGTAAAACTGTTGGGTTTGGGCTTGAGAGTTGATAATTTACATGTTGTTCAATTTTAGATGTTCAATAGTAAAACTGTATTTGATGCAACATACTGTATTAACGTTGGCATGTCTCTATTGTGAAGAACGTTAGCAAAAGTCTCATGTTACTTTTGTAGTGTAAAGATTGGTATTTATGGATGTGCCATGTACAATAGTGATATTCAAGAGCTACCAAAAGATTTTAGAAAATCCAAAAAAAAAATTGATTTGGAGTTATGGATTTATCGATTACTATAATGATATTGTTACCATGAAAAGACAAATGTAAGATATTTGGAGTTGATGTGGGTGATTGGTATGTGGTGCTGAACAATTGGATCCATGGCTATATGGATTATTTACCGTAATAAAGTGTAATCACTAATCTGTAATGTTCAACATCACATACACATCATCAACATCAACTCCAAATCTCTTGTTCATTTGTCTTTTCAAACTTTGGTCAAACACCATTATAATAATCGATAAATCTAGAGTTCCTATCAAATTTTATTAGGTTTTCTAATAACTTTTGGTAGCTCTTGGATATTTACATCCAAACATGTCAATCTTTTACTGTGAAAGGAACATGAGACTTTTGCTAAAATAATTCTCAGTTGAGACATGCATGTCAACGTTAATATGTTGCACCAAACAAATATAATTTAGTTTACATATACTAAATAGTATCACTACTGATAATAATGGAAATTTACTTAAATCTTCGTTTAACCATATATGTGGTTCAATAAGCTTAAAAAAAACATTACCAAAATTGAACGTTATATATGTGCAAGTATTCAATGCATGTGGTTAAATGAATATTGATAACAACAACAACTATTCTTTGAAAATAAGAACAGTTTTATATACATCCATGAATATACTATAGCAAACATATCGTATGTTTCTTCACATCTCTTCACCAAATCACCAATATGCAATGATTAACCAATCATAATCTTTAATGTAATCTAGTTTGTATTTATGTCGTCGTAGTTACCATTTTTTCCAGCCTAGGGCCTTATGCATGCAATCTCGGTATATAACACATAAGTGATGACATAATGTCACAATCTTTAAAACTTCTTATCTTTTCACTTCTAAATGTGTTATCGTGGATTGGTTATACTAAATAGAATCAGATTCTCAATCTCGGTCGGTTCTATTTTAACCATTCAAGAATTAAAGGATCAATGACATGTTTTATACGTCATGTGTTATATAAGTAATTAACGGTTTTAGTTTCACACGTTTGTTATTATTAGAAAAAGTACAATATATAGTTTGTATTAAACTAAAACATGTATGACCAATCTAACAATTCGATTCCCATGGGGACACTATATACATATTCTTTGTCATCAAATATGCTTTCTGAATTCTGAAAGCATCTTAAAACCCGCAAAAGCCATCCTTCTCTTCATATCTATCTTCCTTTCCAAATTATTCTTATTCCCTTTTTACCAAAAATCTATCTTTTTATTTCTCTCGGAAAAAGATTTATTCCTCTCTAAGTCCAACGATTCTCCTCAAATGTTATTCTAAATTTTGCACCCAAAAAATGATATTCGAAAATAGTATACCTCACTTCACCATGTCACACTTATAGGAAAATGTAGAATCTTACTTTATATTAAAAAAATACTATACATTACTTTTTATAACAAATTATGTCATTTTCAATTTTATATATATATATATATATATATATGTATGTATAAAATTCCATAGTGATGTTTTTTTTTGCAATATTATCAATATTAGATTCGTATAAGTCCATGAATAGTTGAATTTTCTATTAGAGTACATTTTCACATTTCATTTACCAAAAGATAGCTAGTATATATATAATACGAAATACATAAATCTCTTATTTATGTGAATTAAATATATAAAATTTAAGTTAATTACTGATATTAGTTGTTTACGAAAATGCCCCTCTAATAAACACATCGTTAGGCATTTACAAGATGCCATTCCAAGCCCAATTATGTCAATTCCAAAACTTAATCAATCTCACATGACGTAACAAGAGTTTGGATTGCCTTCGCTGAGTGCTTCAAACGAATCTGACGGCTGAGATCTATACGAATAAAATTCGGGCGGTGGAGATTCGTAGCCAGTGTCCACGTACTCATAAGAATAATACGACGTCGGATGAGAAGGAGGAGCCGTGTAATACGACGCCGTCTCATTCCCACCGTTACTTGGCCCATGCACCGTGTTGTAACTCACCGTATAAGACGGCGCCGTTTGAGGCTGAGTATGATAAAACGAAGGAGGCCGCGGTCCCGGACCCGGACCGTACATTTGTTGTGGATGATGACGTGGAGGACTGTGAACCGTTGGATACGGATGATTCTGCTGATGGTGATGATGTTGTGGAGGTCCGTGAATAATGTGATGATCTTGTGGAGCTGAGTATATCACTGTCTCTGGTGGTCCATTGTTTTGCGGCGGAGCACCACCACCACCACCTCCGCCACCGCCTCCTTCCATCACCACCGTCGTGTTCCCTAAGCTTTTCTTCTTCTTTTTCTTTTTCTTCTTCTTCTTCGGAGCTCCATCTCCTTGTGGTTGAAGTTGACCGTTAACGAACGTCACAACTTGTTTCACCTGATCACAGTTTCCTCCACCGCCACCGCCACCGCCACCTCCACCACCGCCGTCAGCTCCACCGTTGTTGTTGTTTTCGTCGTCGTCTTCATCTCCACTGGTTTCTTCGCTATCTTTCTTTGGTTTCCTCTGATAGTTACCATCGTTGTTAATGTTGTTCTCCATTGACGTTGGCCATAGCTCGGCGTGTCTACCGGCTTTCATGATCTTCTTGATTAAAATCTCCGGCTCTACGTTTCCGATCACCGTTACTTTTTGTTGCTTCACGTCGATATTTGTTGTATATACACCTAAATAAAATCATATATAGTCATAAGACTCATAATCAGTTAATCAATATGAAAAAAGAAAAAAACGTTAGAGAGTTTATTATATTTTACCATCGATTTTGCTCAATATTTTCTTGATTTTTCTCTTGCATCCTTCACAATGGATAGAAACTCTTAAAACCCATGTCTGCAACGAAAATAAGAAGAAGAAATAATAAATCTTGAGATAAGAAGGTGATGATTATATGAAGGAGAATTTGATTATATGTAAAAATGATCTTACGGTGTATCTAAGAGGTTCAGGGTAATCTTCAAAAACATGTCTCTGTTCTTCTTGTCTTGTGTCTGATTTGATCTCTGTTCCTAAATCCATATTGGAGAGAAAGAGGAAGACGAAGCAGAGGGAGAGGGAATTGATGCAACTTTGATGTGTAATATAGTAACGAAGTCATCGTTTCTATATCTTTCTTTCGGGAGATTCCTTCAGGAGATAATATTCTCTAATAGTTGCCTCTTTTGAAAAAGATTATAATATGCTCTCTTCTCATAATAGGCATTAAATAGAAACTTAGCTAAATGTTTTTTACTTAGTTAGGACTTAGGATTATAATGACACTATATAACTAGTCAAGTTCTTTATTTATAATCAAAAATATAAATAAATAATTAAATTATATTACAATGATTAAAATTAATATATATGAGAAACTGACAGGTTTTTTTTTTTAGTTTTGGAGATGCTCTTACAACAAATATTAATGGGGAGAAAAACTAATTTGTATGCTATTAAAATCAAAACAAACTTTTCGTTTATTTTTTAGTTTTGTTTTATCTTTAATACTAATATGCAAGCAAGAAGGTGATTAGGGAACTCTCCCACCTAAGTCTTCAATCATAACTAATGGTTTTACACTTACTTCGTAGTGAAATATGGCTGCCCAATTTGTATTTTTTTTTTCTCTCTCTCAAATGGGTAATGTTAGAGATAGAGATTTTGAAAGTCTCTCAACTATATTATTTTATTACACATAATTTTAATATATTTTTTTAAAAAAATTTTAAATGATAAAAAATCTTAAAACCAATTATATTATGACATGTGTGATAGTAGTTTTTCAAGAATTCTTAAGTGTTCTCATTGATAACCGATTTTTATTTCTCTCTTATACTTTTTATTACTTTTATATTGTTGAAAACCTCATTAAGCTCGGTGGTTCCGCAATCACTTGTTTGTCTCGGGCTACTGTTGAACGGACTGCCTCCTCGCTATTTGATCAATCGCTTTGCTTTGTCTTTTCTATGTTGCTTTGGTCTTATAATCACTTTAGGGATTCATTTTTTTCTTGTATCAAATCGTCTTCAACCATTATCAATATGTTAATGGATAGAATTTGATGATTTGGTGCAAGAATGTGGTATGCTTCCATGTTTTTTATCCTTTTTTTTGGCATGTGACCATGTAATTGGTTATGCTTAATTGTGTAACTCAAACTTTCATTGTGAAATGAATATTTACATTCTTATAAATAAAAAAAAAAACCTTGTAAAAAGTGAGAATCTCCCACTGCACATGCTTTTAGATGGTTTTTCAGTGACACTTTTTATATTATGACATTATTTAAAACTAAGAGTGAACCATCGTAAATGAGGGAAAATGTGGTGTTTTTTTTTTCTTAGCACATAACTGCACATTTGACAAAGAAAAAGAGTATATGGGAAAGAAGGTAAGGTAAAAGTAGGGTTACTAACTAAAATGAGCTGACCATTAATAATTAACAGAGTATGATGAAAATAGTAAAAAATCTTCAATATTTGATTCGTTTCTATGATCTAATTTATGATCTAACAACTTTAATGAAAAAAACTAAAGTATGTAAATAATCTAATAAAATATAGAGTAACCTTCTAATCCAACATAATTCCATAAGACTAATTTTATGGGGAGGTTCGATTGTGAGATTTTTACATATTGCATGTCTAAAAAAGCCTGTAAATGTTATCACTAAAGAATGGTTCATAAATATATATTGGTCGAAATCATCATACGATAAGATCCTCATCCCTAAATTTATTTATTTATTTATATAACAAATATACAAAATAACTCAAGAAAAAATTAAAATGACTCAAAGAATACATCAAAAGAAAGAAGATAACATTAGTAACAGATAAACATCTTTCACCCCCAAACTTTAATTAGAAACCGGTGAAAGGATATATGGACATAGTCTAATAAAAAGAAAATCAGATAGTTCATAGTTTTTATTACAAAAATAGTTCATAGGTTAGAAACGAGTAACCTCGACTTTGTCTCTATGGAAACATGTGACTAGTGCAAAGAAGAGTCACCTAATTTATTGAGAAACACATCATATCACCCAAAGTTTTGATGATCCTCAATATTCTAGCGAGCATAGCATCCTGCCAAGCAAATCTATGTTCTAGTTCCAAACGTCTGACTCTCTCCTCTTTAAGTGTCAAACTCTCTATGTCAGCGTTTGCGTGTGGCTAGTCCTGGTGGGGCGGAACAATGCGTGAAAATCATTATGAAGCTACTACGATTAGACCATTTTCTTGCACCTGAGCTTTATAATCTTCAAGCAAAGATTTTCTCTTGTTTGAAGGACCAAAAAATCGCATTCTAAAAGTATACAACAAAGAGGACCTTCACACAGTGGTGGAACTGAGGGAGAAGAAAGCATCACAATGCGAATAAGACTAAGGGGGGTGTATTGGGCTTGATATTTTAGGAGATTTGGTGAAATTTGGAAATTATAGATTTTTGAGAGATATGAGTGAGTTTTTAGGGGATTTGGTTTTTTGTTAGAGTTTTTAAATGGAAAAAAAGAAAAATGATTGGTGATTTATTGAAATTTATAACTAAACTTTGGGTGATTTTGGGATACTTTTTAGAACAAAAACAAAAGGAACAAAAATGTCCATGACGATGCCAAATTGGCTTGACTTCTCCTCCCAGACCGTAGCCACAACCGTAGCAGCTGCCGCAACGGCCGGACCACAACTTCTCCTCCCATCGTTTTCTTCAAACCACCTTCCTCCGGCATCGGATACCACCAGTTTGACAGATACGATGACGAGAAATTCATGTTTGTGTCTATGTTCAACGACTACATATACAACAATCACAATCATCATCATCACAACAACAACCTCAACGGCAATGTGAGTGCCATACGTTTGTCCTCGAATAACTCTGTCGTCTGATCACAATAGCACTAGTGACGATGAAAACAAAGAAGCACCACTGTCCGATCATGATCATCACATGGACAATAACATAGCCAACCAAAACAACGCAGCACGTGTTTGATGATCATTGGACAATCTCATGTTCGATGTTATTATGTTTCTAGAGTAAAAGATGACTAGATTAATGAGAAGTATGCTTGAGAAGTGGAGAAACACATCCCGCCATCAATTTGCCTAATAACACAAGATTTACCATTTCTTCTTAGTAAAAACATGATTCAACACTTTCAGAAATTTCATAATTATTAAGGAACAAAGTAAAATTACTTGAAGCCATGACGGATTTAAGGGCTGGGAGGACAAAAAGAAGGTAAGAGATAAACTCTGATACATAACATGGTCATACAGTTCTCTGAAACATAAGTCTTTGCTAACCTGAACTCTAATTCGTAAAGACATCACATTTATCAACAAATAATGTTATGAGTTTAACCAAAAACATAAGCAAAAGAGAATTACTAAATAAGACTAACAACAACAGAGACTAACAACAATACAATCTCAAACATTAGTCAAGACATCTAATCCGGAATTTGATCAAGATGACGAGCAAAAGCTGAAAGAATTGGGGAATCGAAATTGACGACGATGTCATGAAAAATCAAAAGATCGAAGAATTTTGGAAATTGGAGAGGTTGAATGATAGTGACACAAGAAAATTCTATGGAATAAAAAGAGATGGAAGTCACATGCTCAATTTCATGTATAATCTATAAAATTGAAATTGTGAATCTATAGATTCTTCAATTTTCCCTTCGATTGCTCTTGTAACATGTTCAATGGAAGAAGAAAAGAGATGGAGAAGTGATTGAAGATGGGTTTTCATATTTTCTCACGACAGAGATTTTTTTTTAAAAAATTAAAATTCTTCAAATACCACCCTTAGAGCCTTAGAGGTGTGATTTGTTGAGTCATATTTTTTAACTAAAAAAGTATAAAAAGTCTCCTACAATCAATTCCACTAACTTTTTATAAAAAAGTTGCGATACTTTGAATAACAGTAGATTTGATTTAAGTTTTTAAAATTGTTGATTGAATAACTAGAGATTGTTAACTCTTTTAGATGATTTTACATAAATTTCAAGTTCAATAACATAAGATTTGAGGAGAGATTTAAAAATCATCAGTTGAATAACAGGTAATTTTAAGAATAGCCCAAAATCTCCTAAAATATCAAGTTGAATACACCCCCCTAAGTGTGGTAATTAGCTAAATCATCTATGCAATTTGTTTTTGGTAAGAATTATGGCTCCATTCGTCCTTCATTATTTTCTTGAACTTAAATCTGAATAATTTCCACATCCAAATCATTTTAATATTAGACCGTCAATATAATATCATTTCTACATTTAATACAAACAAACATTTACACGTCAAACACCTAAATGTATTTTTCTTGATATAGAAAATAAAAAATTTAAACAAATTTAGTGAATGAAATGAATTTTTAAGTTCAAGAAATGAGTTTAAAAGACACTTCAATATCAAAATCCGAAGAACACCTCAATTAGTAAGATACCCACACCAACATAATATTACTATATTCAGTAGTATAATTAAATTCAGAACCTCATTACTAAATATCATCCCCATTGGTGAGATACCCCTAGAATATTGATATATTTAATATTAGTTAATTTTAAAATATTTATGTTAAATTTTTATCAATATTTTAAAAACATATCAAATTACATCTTTCATAAATTAAATTATACTAATTATTTATATTTATGAATAAATATTACAATAATAAAATCATATATATTAATAATCTTAATCTCAATAGCAATAATTAATAATGGAATCCATCATAAATAGGGTGTTTCTTAAATAACATTATTAAGCAAAAATTAACGTAAACTTACAAAATACTACTTAAAATGCGAGAATATTCTGTCCAAGAAGAAGAACTCTCCAGCGACCACAATCTAAGCGATTTGCTCAATAACACAAGCACACCAATGACTTATTTTCAATTGAAGTTAGCTAGAGTACACCATCCCCAAAAGCAAAAGTGATGCAACTCCTTTGGCACTTAAATCATCGTAAAATATTCTGAATTGAGGTCAAACCTCATCAGACTTGGAACGTCCTTTCTCTAGCAACAATAATAGATCATCCCATCAATGCACACATTACTCCCATATTTTGTTGGAAAGTGAGA